TATATTTCCTGATCACTTACTCATAGATCTTCAGATTGATGATGTCAGAAAACAAATAATATAAATTCCTGCAAAATATGTTGAAATAGAAAAACTTTTCAATAAAACAATATTTGCATTTGATGGAATATACTTATTTGAAATATACTGAAAATTCTCCTTTATTTTGAAATAGAATAAAATCATATTTATCTGAGTTTTTTATAATTGTCATACAGCTTGTTTCGTGTTTTTGTTAGGTATAATTTAATTTCAAATATATGGTTATTTGTTTATTACCGGAACACAATGGGAGTTTCTAGAATATATGTTTCACATTTATTCTACATGGAACAATTCTGCTGAAGTATCTACAAATTGAGCTATTGATACAGATTTGAACATAATTTTGTTGAACTATCAAAATAATTATGTAAAACTCAAGCTAAGTGTCAGAATATCAAAACTTTTTACAGCGATGCTCATCAAGCTTGAGTTTCCTAGATATACATAATCATTCTGATAATTCAACAAAATTATTTCCAGATCTATATCTAAATGTTTAGGTATTTCATTAAAACTGTTTTTTCCGGTATCAATAACAAACGATTTTTTTTTTAAATACTCGCATTCTAATATATGCAAAATATTGCAAAAAATATTTTATGTATTTTCGCTTCTGACATCACAATTCAAGATAGTTACAATAAGTAGACAGGAGCTTTGAAATATGAATATGCAATTACATGTTTTTATTAGCACATTGTCGGCTAAGAAACAATTGCACAAATGAAATTTGCTATTTAAGTGTTGTACGATTACATGATTGATAAGGGACATCCCGAGATATTATATATATCCTACATATAAATATAATATATTATACAGGGTGTTTCCAAATTAAATGGCAAAACTTCGGGAGCGTGTAGAGGAGTAAAAAACTAAGAAAAAAAGTCCTATGGACATATGCTCCTTTTTGCTTTGTTTCGCAGGAAATCACGAAAAAAGAAAAAAATATATTTAATTTATTATTTTAATTATTTTATTTATAAACTTTTTA